TGGTGGAGCTGCCGCACGAGTCCGACGCCGGGATCAACCGGCTCTGGGTGCGCCTGGCGAACCTCCGCAAGATCGAGCCGGCGAAGGCCGTCTCATGATCCTCTCGGACCGGGAGATCGACGCCGCCATCCGCCGAGGGCAGGTCCGGATCACCCCGCCCCCCGACGACCTGGCCTCCGGGGTGTGGTCGTCCACGGCGCTGGACCTCCGGCGCGACGCCCGCCTGCAGGTCTGGAAGCCCCCGGAAGGGCCGGCCTCGCGGTTCGTCGTCGACCCCTGCGACGTGAACTTCAGCGCCACCGAACTGGCCTCGGCGCACGCCCACGAGGAAGACTGCACCGAGGGCTTCGAGGTCGAGCCCGGGATGTTCCTGCTGGGCTGGACCATCGAGAAGATCCAGCTCCCCCACGCCTCGCGGATCGCCGCGAGGGTCGAGGGGAAGAGCAGCCTGGCGAGGATCGGGATCGGCGTCCACGTCACCGCGCCAACCATCCACGCCGGCTTCGGCTTCCGGGGCCAGGACCCCGATTTCGTGGGCAACCCGATCCAGCTGGAGATCTGGAACGTCGGCCCGATGACCGTCCGCCTGGTGCGCGGCCTGCGCATCTGCCAGGTGATCTTCGAGGAGGTTTCCGGAGTCCCCGGCAGGGGTTACGACGGCGTCTTCGCCATCCAGGGGCCCGACGTCCCGCCCCTGGGGTGAGCATGCCGGAAAAAACCCGGCGAACGCGGCCAAATCGGCGTTGATCTCGGCCGGGGGCCCCGGTAATATATCCCCTGTGACGCGACGACGAGTGCCGACAAGCCTCGAAGTCGACTTCACCCCAGAACCGCCTTACGGGGGATTAGCTCAGCTGGGAGAGCGCTTGCATGGCATGCAAGAGGTCAAGGGTTCAAATCCCTTATCCTCCACTCTTCTGAATCGACGCCGACTCGGTCGATTCCTTTCCGGTCAGCCCGCCGCATCACTGATCTGACCCACATACGCTGAATCAGATTGCTCGCGGCCACCCTCCCCGGGTCGGCCGCTTCGAGCCTCTCCAAGCTCTCCACGGTTTGACGTTCCCGGCCGGGCGCGTTCCGCCACCGGACCGCCTCGTCCGAGTTCGTCGTCACGATCGTCCCGGTCGTGATTCGAAGGATTCTGTCACGGCGAAGGCTCGCCGGC